ATTTACATTGAACAACCTGAAGGATATGTTGTAGTAGGTCAAGAAGACAAAGTTTTAAAATTAAACAGATCTCTTTACGGCTTAAAACAATCTCCAAAGATTTGGCAAGATGATGTGACTCAGTATCTTATAAGTCTGTGTTTTGAACAATGCTCAATTGATCCATGTATTTACATAAGGTCAGATGAGGTACAACAATTATTTACGGTGGTGTATGTTCATGTTGACGACATGGCTATCACCGGTAATAACTCACAAACTTTCAAAGATGAAATTTCTTCAAAATGGGAAATGGAAGACTTGGGTTTAGCTCAATCAATTGTTGGTATTGAAATAGATAGAAGAGGTCCTAACATCTATGCACTTACTCAAACCAAATTTGCTATAACGGTGCTGAATAGATTTAATATGATAAACTCAAAACCAGCTTCAACACCACTTACTCCAAACATTAAATTATATCGATCCTCTGATGAAGAATGTTCAAATTTTGCCAAACTAGGTCTCAACTATAGAAGCGCTGTTGGCTCACTTATGTATTTGTCACAGTGTACTCGACCTGATCTTGCTCATTTGGTTGGAGTTTTATCTCAACATTTGGACAGAGCCGGATTACAACATTGGAATGCAGCTATGCAAGTTTTTCGATATCTAAAAGGTACAATGCATTTGGGAATTGTTTACTCAGGAGAAGATGATTTAAAAGTTTCAGGACAACAAAGTTTTTCTTTACCAATCTCACATTGTGATGCCGATTGGGCAGGTGACAAAGATACTCGAAGATCAACTACTGGTTATATTTTTGTTCTGGCCGGTGGAGCTCTGTCATGGAAAAGTAGATTACAACCTACTGTAGCTCTGTCTTCTACTGAAGCAGAATATCGTGCTATTACTGAGGCTGGACAGGAATTGCTGTGGTTAAGAAGGATGATGCAGTATTTTGGATGTTCAGATTCTGATCCGACTGTTCTTCAAAGTGATAATCAAGGTGCTATTCACCTTACTAATAAATCAATTTTTCATGGAAGAACGAAACATATCGAAATACAGTATCATTGGATTCGAGAGATTGTGAAGAACGGAGATTTAATATTAGAACATTGTCCTACTTCAGAAATGGTTGCAGATTTACTTACGAAAGCATTAGGAAAACAGCAATTCATCAGGCTTAGAAGCAGATTAGGTGTAAAAATGTAACTGACAAGATCTTGAGGGGGCGTGTTGAAATAATACATTATTGTTAATTATTGTCGGTCAAGAACTTATCAGTTATGTCTGTGAACAATTATGAATCTATCGTGTGAACTGAACATATCTCGAGTATTCATAGTGATCAAGAAGATCAAGTAGGTTTGAAGATGTGTGAATGTCTCAGAGATGTAGTTGATATTAATGTTGAAGTGTTGAAGTCAAAGTGTTCAAGGTTTCTGTTTAATTTTTGTTCTCCGTGTGATATTTGTTTTTCTCTCTACACCAGGGGGTAATGGTCCTCGGCCTCGGCCGGTTCCTGTGACGATTTCAAAGGTTTCGTCACCTGAACCGCCCAGGAAGGTGTGGAACCGGGTTCGCCGAAACCGATTTGGACACCGTTCCACCACCGCTTCTGGAACAAGCTGCATGTCAGCAACCGTTTGAGAACGGCTGCTGAGGCGGTGGTGAAGCGGTTTGTTGCAATCGGTGTCCTGTCTTACATACTGGAAGCAAGCTGTGTTGAAATATCTTCAGCAACGACGACTTGACGTGCAAAATGTTTTTGTGACTTACCATGCGAGCAATCGATCCTTCTTCACCTTAAAACACATCAAAAACTCTTCCAGCAGCAATTTCAGTAGCTATATAAAAAAACCTTTGTCAGTAAATCGCTTATTCCAATTCAATAATCAAGTTTAAAATCTTATACGTATCAAAAAGACATCTTTGACCTACCATTTGATCCTAATCCAATCTTCAACCCATTCCAACACTCAACAAACAACTTCCTAGCCAAAAGTTTTCTACGCTCTCTAGCCTCAAAAGAAGAATCAACTGCTTCCACTCTTTTCTTATCCTTTTTCTTGTCTTTAGATCCAATCCATTCTTTAATAATCTTAGGTTCTTGATTTTGATTTAAGAATCCTTCTAGACTACCTTTCAAAACACTACTCCATTTCTTCGTTCTCAAAATCGTTTCTAACACTCGTAACATCCCTCGTTTCATCGACCAATCTTGTTGGATTAAATCCATATGCCGCTTGTAATACACTCATCAAGGCTATTAAAATCGCTTCTAAATCTGATTCATCTATTTTAATGTCTTCTTTTTAAATATCTTCTTTTTTAATCGATTCGTCTTCAATCCTAGTTTCTTTTACTAAACTCTTGGTGCAAGTAATTTTTGTTAGTTACCATGCGAGCAATCAATCATCACTGATGGTTGTAGGCCAGCTTTTGAAAGGCGGTTGATGATTTGGAAGCAAACTCATATGACCTAAGGTGATTTCACAGCGTGGTCCAAATGGTGTAGCAGTTAAAGGCTCTGTGGCCATGATCAAGCCCTTTGCTCTTTTTTCCGCCTGTGTTCAAATCTCGCTGCCTGATTCTCTTTTGGCACATTCTACGACGTACCCTCAGAACGTTCCAGGGACCGTGTTTAGCGGTCACCAAGGCGGTTTGCTTGCACCGCCAAAAACGGTGATGGGAACCGTGTTCGTGCGGTCCCATCTGAAATCGTCTCAGAAACGTCACAAATAGTTTAAAACCGTGACGGCAGGAAAACGGTTTCGAAAACCGTTTTCTTGCCGTAGGTTTACCCCCTGGTGTAGTGTTAGTGTCAGTTGTGATTTTTCTTATATACCAGGGCACTGTTCTCCTTAGATTCTTTTTCCCCTTATCGGGGAAAATTATTCTAAGGTAAGGTCTCTTCTTTTTGCTCTGCTTGTTTTATCTTCGCTGAAGCCTACATTCCTATTGTGGGAATTTGTTATTTGCTGCTTGGTCTTTTTCTCTTTATACTAGTCTTTTATTTCTTCCTCAGGTCTGTTAAAGAGCGTCACTGCAGACATTATTCGGGTTCCCCAAGTGGGCAGGGAAAAATGATTGGGAGTATGATTTGTCATAAAATGGTCTATCACTCCACACCTGAGCCATAACACCCACACTACATATGTGTAGCAGGCTCAGTGAATATGTGGTTATCATGTACATACAGTTCTGCTCAGTTATCTGCTCATCAGGACAAGTTATTCATATGTAATACATGCTGTAACTTCTTTCAGATTGAAAAAAGCTTCCAAAAGATTGACTACATACACTGACTCAATGTTTTGGTGTGATCTCATCAACTCAACTGCATGTAACACACTTTCTGTTACTAAGACATAGCTTCAACAATATTGCCTGAGCAGCTACAGAATTATATGTAGTGAATTTTTGGGAAAAAAATTTCAAAGTCGAAAAAGTTACATGTGGTATAACATGTGATTTATTTATTCTGATGGGCAAAAAACTGAGCAGACCTGTATATACATGATAGACAACTATTGACTTAGCTTGCTGCACATATGTAGTGTGGGTGAAATGGCCCAGGTGTGCAGTATTCGATTCTTTTATGAAAAACTGTACTATTAATCATTTTCCTCTGCCAAATTGGGGAAGTTGAATGATGTTTACAGTGCGTCGTGCTCCGCTTCTCTTACTCAGCGTGTCTTGTCAACACTAGCTGAAGTCTTGTCTTAAACCTTTATAAAGGTCTGTTAAAGAGCGTCGTGCTCCGCTTCTCTTACTCAGCGTGTCTCGTCAACACTAGCTGAAGTCTTGTCTTAAACCTTTATAAAGGTCTTTTTATTAGATTCCTGTTCAAAATCTTACAGAAACCGCCGTGGCGGACCGATAACTCCTAATATGTTAGCGAACTGGATTTATGATGATGCACAAGTGGACAAGCATCCTGGGGATGCGGAGGCCGAATAGGATATGAGTGGCTCTCTCCAACTATGATAATCAGCTCTTGACAAGACAAGTTTGATCTACAATTCCTCATGTCTTCCCGAATCCCGCTGCTACCGATTACTGGGCACTAGGAGCGAGCTTCTAGATACGAGAGCGGAGAAGTGACGTAGCCACAACGAACTATGTGTAAGCCATCACGTCGCGTATGATTGCACTGCTGTGCTCTTTACCACCTCCGAAATACCTCATTACTTTTAACACTGAGGACGCTCTTTACCCTCTTGGTAAATCCTGTAAGACGTGGATGATTCTCGAACTCCGGTTCTTCCCGCTTTTAGAACAGTTCTCAAAGGAAAATATACTTTCCTATTAAGTATTCTCATTTTATTCGAGATCTTTATTGTATTTGTCTCCGTGATCTGAATATAATTTTTTTTACCCACCCACCTCTCCCTTTGTGTAATTTGTGATATTTCTTTAGGCCGCCCCAATCGGACCTCTTTTTGATGCCTTTGAGTCATTTTGCTTATGCACCCAGACCTATTCTACAACCAGAATCGTTTCTTTCACTCCTGCAATATCACCGTGCTCGCATAGCTTTACAATGTCTTCAGAATCAAGCCAAAGAGTTTCTGCACAATCGACTCTCGTGTCTTTCAATGCATTTCACATTTTGTATTGATAGGTTGAGATGAGCGGTGAGGAGCGATGTGACCAGAGTGTTCCAAAGGTTTTGATTCAAAATCATGAAATCCAACTTTGAATGACTCCCGAGTCCCCCTTGACCCATCTGAAATCATCCATAAAAACTGGAAATCATCGCGGTCGCCGACAAACATAACAAAGTCCCTCGCGCCGAAGGCCCTAAGTTTGGGTCGGCAAACTTAACAAAGTCCCTCGCGCCGGTCGCCGGCTGGATTTTTATGATCATTCATGGGTTTATGATGACATCATTCAATTTTGGCGACGTATGTATGGGTTTATAAATAAGCGGTATCTTTCCAGTGAGATATCAGTTGGATTTCGAATGCCACCGCCCAACCAAACACACTTTTTGAAGTCACCGCTATTCAATGATGGTAAGCCGATCTAATCTCAAAACACTATCAACATCAACCTAACGTTCATTCATTTGCTTTGACAATAATCAATATAATCCAACTAGTTTCATCCACCGGCACCACCTATCATTGAGAGCTTCCTGAATTTCATAAATCATTCTCCTACCCCTTTTCATGCGGTCTCAAATGCTATAAAGCGACTCGAATCAGCTGGATTTGAACGGTTAAAAGAAAAGGATGATTGGACTTCCCGGTTGAAAAAAGGTGGAAAATATTATGTAACAAGGTGATCGAATCTGTTTCTCATCTCAATTGGGTAGTCTGTACTGATCGTGTTTAATTCTTTCGATTGTCCAGGAATCAAAGCTCTATCAGTTGAGTCCCGGAATGTGAAGAGAGGAAACGTTTTCAGATGGATTGAAATCAGACATTTGATCCTAATTCTGTGTACTCGATTTGTCACTTTTTGGAATTCTTCAGTTGCTTTTGCCATAGGTGGAGCGTATCAGGCTGGAAATGGGTTAGCCATAGTAGGATGTCACACTGATTCGTAAGTAGATATTCCTCGGAATAATGCGAGATTTGTGATCATACCTTGTTTGGAGTGGAATTTTAAAGAAATAGATCTTCTCTGTCTTTAGTCCTTGTTTAAAATCCGACCAGTATCCAAAAAGACTAAACTAGGATACCTTCAAGTGGGTGTAGAGACTTAGTGAGTGCTTTCCTATGAAGAAATCCATAAACTCTGGTTTTGATCTTATTTTAAAAAATCATACTTGTCTTGATTGTTTTTTATAGTGGTGGTGGAATTTGGCCTACTTGGCTTGATAGAGACTTAGGAATCGCTGGTCGAGTGATTGTAAAAGATTCAATCAATAAATCATCTTTCAATTCTCACCTTATTCATATTTCGCAACCTATCTTGAGATTTCCCACTTTGGCTATTCATTTAGAACGCACTCAAACTGACCAATTAAAGTTGAGTTCCTATTTTTTCAAGAAATCTCGTTGAAAACTTCATTCATTGAATTTTGTGCTTTTTCTTGATAGGTATAATACTGAAACCCAGATGGTACCGATATTAGCTTTAGCAAATGACACTCTGAATGAGACTATCAAAAAACCTACCACGGAGGATCTTCTATCCAAAACGGCACTCAACATTCAAGATTATCATCATCCTTTACTCCTTACGTTATTAGCCAAAACGCTTTCTTCGACTATTGGTCAAACTGTTAATCAAGAGGATATACACGATTTAGAACTTTCACTCTTTGATACTAACCCTTCGACCGTAGGCGGAGGACTTGGCGAATTTATCTTCTCACCCAGACTTGATAATCTTTTTAGTTCATTTGCTGCTTTTGAGGCACTTGCTCAATCTGTTGAAGGTCAAAATGGTGATAATTTGCTCAATAGTCCTGTAGTTAGAACTATTGCACTCTGGTAAGTCATCGATTCTCACGTTGCCTGGTCAAACTAAAAAAAACTAATGACTCTGGATTGTAGGGATAATGAAGAAATCGGATCAGTTTCCAATCAAGGAGCCGAGTCAAATTTCTTGGAAGCAATCTTGACTCGCATCTCTAGCGCATTTGCTGAAACCCCTTCTCCGGCATTGACTGAAAGGACACTTGCTACTTCCTTTTTACTCAGCTGTGATATGGGGTTCGTCTGGATTTTGATAGGATTTTCCTTTCGCACTTCACTGGTGCAATACCGAGTGGTTGATTTTATTTGCTAATCTATCGTCTTGATACTTTAGGCATGCTATTCATCCATGTTTTCCTGAGAAACATGAAGAGAATCACCGACCGTCTATCAATAAAGGTCCCGCCATCAAAACAAATGCTAAACAGAGATATGCCAGGTCAGCGTGCAAGCCATCTTTTTCACATTTGTCATTCTAAGAAAGTCGAAGCCTTCATTGAAACCGTCTTTTTCGATCTTTAGCACGGCAGCGACCACTTTTGTCTTACGTCAAATTGCTGCACTTGCCGAAGTAAGCGCATAGATTGATCAATTGAGATCGAAGATTGGGAATCTGAGTGAAACTGGGGTTTGTTTCAGGTCCCATTACAAGAGTACGAGGTTAGAAATGATATGGCGTGTGGTAAGTCGATGTCAACTCTTCTTTAACAATCTAAAAGGTTAATCAATATCTTGTTGTCTGATTGTAAACAGGTTCTACAATTGGTAATTAAATTTTGGATCATGAATCTGGCTTCCGACACAGATCTAATGTCGAGGGTTCATCTCAGGTCCACTGGTCTCTAAGATTGGATTACGTACCGTAGATATTGGTTGTCCGCAGTGTAAGTTGTTTTGACGTCATGAAGGATGATCCTAGTCAGAAAAAAAATTGATTTATATTTGGCTGGTGTTGAATTTGTTTGGATGGGGATGATGTTAAGTATCTATGCACTCTATCAGGGAACAAGCTGGTTGTCTTGATATGGTTTATCTTGTCAAACTCTTTGAGACTTTTTTTGAAAAGTTTGAGGAAGTTGATTCGACACTTTCGACCGGCGAATGAAGGGTTGGTTGATTTGGTATGTCTTCTTGCTGCTTTGTTTGTGGACTTTTTGGGTAGCTTTGATATCCATCCATTTCTTGTTGGCACTGAAATCTTTGTCTACCCTGCGCCTATGGTTCAAAGCATCCCACACTCCTTTTAGATGATAAGGGACTTGCGAGGTAGATGTAGCTGTTGTGGTGAAATCAAAATATGAATAGATTTTTCTACCACTTGGCTATGTATTTTTTCTCAAGCCACTACATTGAGGAGATTGTAATTTAACTAATAGCAGTTTAAATTAAAAACCACGTGTTGGTCCAATGAACTTTTGGTTCACATGGGATTCAGACGTTATAGAAATTGACGGGTGCCTATGTGGACCGTCACATATCATGCAAGTCAGGGCACAAGCTGCTCCTGGGTGATAGGCTCCTCTTCCAATCAGAATTGCTAAGTATGTTGTGTATGTCTTGAACTTTCATCAAACAGAAACCTTGAAACCATCTTTACTGTCTCTGGTAAGTATTCAACCTGAAGCTCAACTTGAAAGGAAAATCAAAAGATCTTCCCCAAATGACAAACCTGAATACATGCATTGACAGCTAATGGAGTGAATGTATGGATTGGGGGTCCCCTGGGACCTAGATCCTTGGGGTAGCTAGATTGTGCCTCCTCAACAAGGCACTTTAGCACTCAAATGACTCTTGCGGTCAAATCCATGGTGAGCTGGAATTTACAAGTGAAGACTTCACAAGAGGTGGTAAAAGTGTAAGCATTAGAGGACTTGTGAGGACTTGTGCTGACTGTGGCCCACCCACAATTATGTAGAGGTCACAAACAGACACCTCAGCTTACATCATCACACAAAGCATGCAATTGTCAAACCCCAACTGAGAAGGCAAGAAATGAGAAAGCATCAATATCCACCACCACCAACATCTTCACCTTGGATTGAAAAATCCAAGGCTTCCTTGGATCCCACCCCATGGACGGAACCTTCCCAAGGTTCTGATCCAAGTTAATTCTCAGTGCAAAAGAATACCTTGGATCAAAACCTTGGATAAATTCTGTCCAAGGATTTTCACTCTCTTATACAATGATACACGGGCAAAGAAAAGCCAGGACTGAGGATTGCATAAGTGATCTTAAATGTATAAATCATATGCAAAACAGTGACCCAGCAGGAGGCCTTTGCATCTAGCTGAACAGCTTATTTCCTTGCACCCACAAACAAACAAATGGGCCAGACAGTTGGAAAGGATACATGGCTTTTTTTGCAAAATTCTGCGCACAGGGTTGCAAAACTAGTAAGCTGCCCCAGTGTTGAAGCTCCCTATATCTCGGAGTAGAGTTGGAGATGTGCCTCTGTGGTCTGTTGTGTCCAGGGAGGACCCTGGAGAGCGCGTGCAGACCCTAGTGACAAAACACACTTTTTGGGTATTTGCTCCTGCACACAACACTTGTCTACCTATGAAGCTGTACAGTAGCTCGGTGTATGCGGGCAAAGACAGGCTACCTTATGATACCAGCCTCAAGTTTATTGGAGCGCTGGTTGAGGAGAAAAACACAAAAAACTGATTTTTTTGATGATCCCGGACGTATTCCTACATACCGGGGCCGAGTCTCTACATTGGGTTTTACCCAAAAATACTGCCCTTACCATGACAAAAGTATATGTACTAGAAAGCTGCGGCCTTGCTCCATCTGTTGCTGCTTTCAAAACTCGGAAAATGGTCATGGTTGCGCGGGAAAAGCCCAAAACCCGACAAAAGCGGAATTTGGGTACCAGTAAGTAGGGTCAGTTTGCGCTCTCCAGGGTCCTGTCCAGGGGGTATTGTGTTTCTTTCCCCCGGAAACTACACCACGGGGTATTACATACTGTTGTTTGGCGGCCGTGGATTACCGCTGTATGGCCGCCACCAGATGGTCAGTGGAGTGGCGGTGGAACGGCAAGATTGCCTTGCTGCCGTTAGAAGAGCCATCTGGCGGCCTACAGACCGTTTCCAAGCAAAGTTTGTCCGCCAATCACTGGGCAGCTGATTGAGCCAACCTGTTTGCTCCCTTCCATGGCCACCCCATGCACCACATGTGGGTTGAGGCATCAATGCTGAGGAAGATGATGAAGAGCTCACAGACCAAAGAATGGATTTTAGGAGCTCTTGTGTTGTCAAAATAAAAAAGGGGTGGCTAGAACCACAGCTATGGAGGAAAATGCACAAACACAACTTTGATTTCACGGGATTGGCTTGGCGGTCCATGAAGACAGCTCATTTTCCTGTCTTTTGCTTGCCACAGGGCTGGTTGATCTCTTGCCAGACCAATCAGACGGCCTACCAGCCAAAATCCCAGCTTTTGACCAGAAATCAGCTGGTATTGCCATACCATCCAAAATCTGGTCAAACACTGAAATTTTGGCCAGTGTTTGGCCAGATCTCAACACGACCACTTGTTTGCTGGGATCTGGACAAAGCATTACCCTATGGTATAGGAGGGGACTGAGTTAATGCACAAGTTGGAGCAACACACAAATTGCAACAACACACACTAAAAGATTGTTATGATAGGGGGTTTCAAGTTTGTTTGTTTTTTGTGTATCTTTGTGAAATTTTGGCAAGTTTTTTGTAAAAAGAATCCGCGTATGTAAAACCAACATATCTTTAATCCAGGACACCTAAAAGGGGTTTCAATTTGAAGGTTTTTACATATTTTTACGGTACAACAACTTGCCCATTGTGGTGCATATACTTTTTGAAGCAGGGCACCTTTTTAGCTGTACCAAATCAAAAATGCATTAGTTTTACAAAACAAAATTACAAAAAACTTGCCCAGATTTTTGAATAATACTCAAATTAAAGCCAAACTTGAAACCCCCTATTGAATTTTGTTGCAACAGTACAAAAACACAATCAAGCAACATCAAAAAATCAACTGAAACACTCAAAGTCCCCAAAGGGTTTTGGTGCCCTAGATAAATAGTTGTTGGTAACTAGTTATTAACCAATCAGAATTTTGATAAAATTTGGACTGTAATGTACAGGTTCTGTTTTGCTGACGGGTTGGACTTTTGTTTATATTTAGGCAATTCAGCAATGATGTCATATTAGCTGTTTACAACACTTGACCAATTACACTGAAAACATGATAGTGAAACTGATGGTGTAGCTTTTTCACATATCTACAACACTTCCTGTTATCTACACTACTGGCACCTTCAAATTTTGTTAATATGGCCTCACTACGTTTGTAGCATTAGCTGCATGTATATATCTACATTACATTCATTCAGATTGGATGTGAGATTTTAGTTTGCGTTAGCATACACCTCCCTGCCAACAGAGATGCCTTGAATTGTAAAATCCAAGGTATCCTTGGATGTCAATAGACTTGGACTGTGTGTCCGAGTAGTTGATCTGAGGCAATCTCTGGGGCTAAGGAAAGCCTTGAATTAATTTCTTGGACACACCAAGGGAATGTAGATCCAAGGATACCTTGGATTTTCCAATCCAAGGTATCTTTGCTGGCAGTGCCGGCACTAGGTCTTCATCTCCTGAAGGTTTCCCTGAAGTAATCTTGTGTATCCAACTAATAACATACACGATGAGATAATGAGTTCAGGGGCCCCCTCTACCCCAACACATACAATCTCAACCAGTTATTGGTTGACAGTGAGTGAGCTACCCCACACACCTCACAAGAATATCTTACTCAAGCATTGTGTTGAAATTGTAATTTGTTTCTTTTTTCATCCAAATTTAATTATTCCATCATTGATTTACCATGGAGCCAACTCCTTCTCAGAGGAGCTTACAAAGCTAAGCTCCTGGTCCATCACATAGATTTTCCCGCATCATAATGCCTGTTAAAACCCTCTCCATTAGTCTCAGTCTCTGTTTGCTGTTCTTCCAATAATTGCAAAACATTTCCCACTTAATTTGTTGCTAGTAAAAAGAGATGCCAAAATGATGGATCAGAACTTGAAGTTGAAACTGAACCTGAAGCAGAACATACAAACAATAACAAGAAACAGAATAGGCAACAATAGAATTGGGAAGGAGATCCAGAACCACATGTACAGTCAATTGCAAAGCAATTGAGGCGTTCTAAAAATCCAGAGGTGGACCGTGCACCACCTGTGACAGGTAACAAAATACACATACAAAAATGCCATTCTGATGAGAAAAAACATCTCAACTCAAAGAATCTTCTGGTACAGTGGGATGAACGCGGTTATGGAGTCTCTTTGTTGTGTTATGAACTCCAAAAACTTTGCTTTTTGAGTTCAAGTTGAGTTCAAGCCAGACTGGCTTTATTTTATGTCATCACATTTTCTGACATGTCTAGATCTCATATTTGCTTGTTTTTAAATAGAACAATAAAAGCGCTCCCCTGTTTGCCTCTATTTTTTTGTTGCCTTTTTTTTACAAACTCTAGACAAAAAAAGATCAAATAAAAAGAGATGAGCAACTCAAACACAGGATCTGCCGGCAGGTGGACAAGGATAAGCCATGGATGCCTACCATTACAACACCAAAGAACAAAAGCTTGAAATATGTCAAAGTTATTTATTCTTGTATGTTGTTTGATCTGGGAAGTAAGCTGAATACCTGTCACAGGTGGCGCACAGACCACTCCTGGATTTTTAGTACACCTCAATTGCAAGCTTTTTGCAATTGACCGTAAGTCTCTTGCTTCAAGTTCTGTGTTGCATCATCTTAAGAATTGTATCTCATAACTTCTTGTATCTTACTTTTGTTTCATGTGCACAAAGGTTGATCTCATTCAAGATTTGGATGAGGAAAACAACCAAGTGTGCATGCAAGATCCAGAGGCAGATGATGGGATTGAGAAGCCAACCTTGTTTTTTGGGGAACCATATCAGAAGAAAGGCAATGCAAGTATCTGCCTTATCTTGTTCATGATTTATATATTTAGTCTTGGCCATTTACTGATGATGATGATGATTATGTGTAAGACATTGGTTTTATTTCTTCTGACAAATCATTGAAACCTCTTGCTTACAAGTGTTTATGGTGTAAGAAGAGGTCCCTATTTCTTTAATTCCAACTAGAACCTTGCACTGTGCCCGTGGAGAGCGCCCCAGACGTTGGGGGCTCCAACAAGTACAGAGGCTTCCCTTTGTACTCTTGAGGGCCCCTGACGTCTAGGGCGCCCTCCACGGGCACTGTGATGGTTCATCACAGCCAGGAAGGTATGGGCATGGGTGTCCAAATCAATCCTTGATCATTTCAGCGGGTTACAAACTCCTGCTTTCTGTATCCCAGCAACACACTCTTATCCATTTGTTTTTATAACATCTTATCATTTTATTGCATA